CATGTTGGAGTTTTGATCATCCTAATTATATTGATCATTATGGTCATCCTGAACATCCTCAAGAACGTATCTCCGGTGAGATATCAAAGCCCGAGACAGTTAGTCCGAGACGGTGTATGAGCCAAATACCCAATAATTCTCATTACTTAAGTTATTAGGTTCCAAACTATCAGTTGTTTGACAACCACACATTTTTTAGTGCCGAGATAGAATAAAACCATTCAACTTTGATCTGAGTTATCTCGTCCTCCTACCTCAAAGATACTCTTCTCATAATACACAATACAATCAAGACGATGATAGTGGTACTAGGAATTAGGAAAGATGATGTGGTACCAAACGCTACAACAATAGTTAGAGAAGTCCTCTTCATATCACGAAATATGCTGCCCAGCGGCGGGTAAACAAAAGGCCCACGAAAGCAAAGTAAAAGACACTTCCGCCTTCAAGAAAAGTAGATTTCGACTCGTCAATAATATCGTCTCTTCTGGCCTTGAATACTGCAGCTACTAGCTAGGAGGGCATCCGAAGTACATGAATTGCTTGACAACCTCACGGCCGTAACGACTCTTGGATACTAGGCTAGGCTAGGCTAGGCTCCTTTGCGGCATTCACTATTGATCATAACTTTGATGACGTCCTTTCACGAGACCCGGCTTATCCTGCTGCATAAATCAAGGGAAGAGTGAGAGGAGGCTAGAAAAGTTGAAAGACACTGTCGGGTAAACATAGGTTTGCTGCGGCCGCTCGCCCTTTGCGTATTAGGAGAGCCCCGCATCCAGTGGTCTTTGAAACTTTTTCCTGCAGCTACAGACACGCAAATGGCCATTATTTTGTTGACCAGAGGGGAGAGATTATTGGATCAGTGGACATTTACACTCTAATAATAGATGGAATATGTGTTAACCTATTGTAACAGTATGTTAAGTAGCTCGGGATGTAGTAAACAGGTATGGAATTGGATTAGGATACCTATGGGAGTCCGGCATTGTAGAAGCACTGATGACATGTTCATTATTATTCGCTTAATTCCAACCTCATTAAACATGTAGCTTGTTGGCTGAGCTTTGCCCTTTAGCTTTATTACCTTTAACCCTTGAGTTCTTGCATGCCATAATTAGCGTGTCGTAACCCAGTAGTTCAATTACGTAATATTCTCTTGGCATTCTTACATGACACCAAGAGGATTAGAAAAGATTGAATTATATGTGAATGTTATTGTATCATTTTATTGAATAGATTTTATTGCTTTTTATTTACGCGCGTATACCGTATTGTACTAACAGATATAATGACTGGATAGTGGCACATCTTAGTGTGTACTAGAATATAGATCTGTGGCGTTGAATTATAAGATTGTTGGTCAAACATAATCATTCCTGTGCCTGAACATAATGGAGTTATGGTTGTATTTATTACTTACTTAGGAGTATAGAGGGTAAGGCGTATGGAGATCTTAGATACCCTGAATTAGTAGTTCCGTATTAGCGCATAGACGAGGCTGGCAGACACATATTAATAGGAGTATGGGCGCAGCATTGAAGGATGCTGCGATCGCGAGAATCATACACGATAGATTAACTCAATACTTTATCAATTCTACTTCCAGTACTTACGTACCACTCGTATACAAGAATCTTATTCTAATATGTGGGGCGTATTACCGCTGGAAAGAAATCTTGTAAGAGGCATATGAGCGAGTACACTACCCGCGGCATAGATATTGCAGACCTGTAGGCAGGAAGGACCTACACGTCCTTATACAGTCACAGACCCAATGGGTCATTAAACATAAAAAAATCCCAGTAGACAGCCCCTGCGGGACCTCCTATCAACAGCGGTAAACAGCAGTATTGCAAGGACTGCTGCTGACACTAAAAATACAAGCTAAAAATGAAAGACGCCGTGGTGAGCTTCCTGGTGGTATTCTCTGGTAAAGTTGGAGTAGCCTGGGCACATATTGCACTTGGGAAGGACAAGGCTCGGACCAAATCTCGCGCGAAGAAAAGTAAATTGACGATGGAGACGTGTCTGAATAACTCGGAGTTTTTGAGAATTTTCCCCAGGTAGGTCCTCACGAATGAGGGTTGCCTTGGGGTATAGTTAAGCCGCCATGACTTTGCAGTGGTACTTGGAAATAAATCCCTAGGTATGAGTGCCCTACTTCTAAATTGACTCTTGTATTCTATTTAGGAAATGGTTGTTCAAATTTATGACCTCAGTTTGACCATGCCAAGGCGTTAGCCAACAGCAGAAATGTATCCTGACAACCTACATAAGTATCGGATGGTTTGTACAATACACGCGCTCTTAATATAGTGCCAGGCGTCATGATACGTATCTCTATTCACGCCATTAATCAAGATCTGTAGAAGTTTAGGAACATGTTCTGTCTAACTTAGTATTAAGTGAGGAACCCCCTGGTGAACCAGTAATGGGGATCCCAACATCAAATCAAGAAAACCCCCTATTATAATGAAATAGAAAATTTGTATTTAATTAGTCTATCCTACATGGTTAGAAACCCAAATAGGACATTAATAGATAATTAAATTAAATTAAGTGAGGAACTAAATTAGAATGAGACGTACCTGCTTAGTCATATCAAACTAAGGGAACTCAGATTTACTTACACACTGAGATGTACCGCTTTGGTTTATAAATAATACAAATTTGCCGCCTTACAAATCTATCAATTCCAGCCCTAAATCTTCTAGATAGATATCTCGCTTCAATCTAACAGCTCTTATCGCATCTCCCAAATAATTACGTCAGTTTTTACAATAATAATAATCCTTCATTCATTGAGGGTTAGGTGGGCATTCATTCGAGCAATAAACGGAGTGAATTAGGTACATAATTTGTAGCCAAGTGTGTATCAACAACGTGGACTTCTTGATAGCCCCAATTAATTTAATTTCTTTACACACCATGTCCCCCCTGGAATGGAGCAATAGCGTTCGCTTTCGCCCGGTAGACAATAAAAATAAATATGCTGGAATTACTACGGGGTGGTTTCACGATCGATCGTAGTGATTCAGTAAAGAGTTGTGCGATTCTGTTTTTTTTTTGTTCATAATTGTCTTGTCTACTCTGTACAGGATTCACAGCTTTAATGTGGATTCTGACTAGCGCATCTTTGCTGAGATCGTCACGTGATCCCATATGATGACAAATCAAAATTTACGTTTTAGATAAACCGACAAAATAAGTCTTACAACTTCTAACATGTAGGTCCTTTCTACCTACAGACCGTGTATACCAGTCTAATATTTTATCCCCTCATGTGCCTTCTACATTGCTCTCCTGAAACAGTACTACCCCTTACAAGTCCTTATTCGATAATACACTCAAAGGAGCCCTTTGCCCTTCACGGCCTCCCCTATCTAGCCAACGAAACGATGGCCATTTGCGGGTGTATGGCAGCCAGGAAAAATCTAACCACTGGGTCCGGGGTTTTCATAACACCTACATTAGGTCTAAATCCGAAGACATAGTGACTCTTCTGAAGCTTTCGAAGATGCCGGCCAGCTGGGCGCTGTATACTTGTGGGTACCTCGGAGAATTAGCTCTCTACCTTTATAGCCTCCTTTCAACTCTTCCTCAAATCGAGAGGAATTGTCAAAAATGCCTTGAGTATTTTTGCTATGTTTTAGCTCAGCCCAACTTCACTGGGCCGTCTAAGGTACTGGAGATTGCTGTAGACTCACCAACAATAGAAGCCCTTCTGGAAAGTTATCCGAAACCTTGGTCTTAGCGCACAAAAACGTTCCAACATCGAAAAAGTCAGTGCTAGCATGCCCACTGGATATTTTTTCTGTCATTTCACTTTCTAGTTGCATGTCTTTCATCAAGTAACATAACACTATTAGAGCAACGATGCCCCATGATCCAGATCCTGAGCTTTGTATATTATATACTACTTCCTCCTTGCGGGTAAACGTAGTCTCATAAATCTGATAGTGGATAATAGCTGGGAATTAATGAGGCAAGCACGCATTTGAAGTTGGGGCAGGTCCTAGATCATTTCTTGAGGTAAGGTAGTGTATGGTAAAATCGAGTTCGGGAACTCGCGACATATAGGTAGGGCCGACATTGGTGGGAAGACATCTACTCTACAAATGCCTGGACTTGCTTTCGACCTCAATTTGGATACAATTCATTTTGGTTGTAAAATTATGCAGATCTTACTGAACGTTTACACTGGCAGGACTTGAAGGTGAAGAATTCGTCTCTGCCGGTATATTTCCTTAGCATACAAGCAGAACGAGCCAACTCATCTCTAGTGCTCGTAGGCTCTTGAAGGAGAAATACAATCCAACACAAGCATAGTGTAAAACATTTAAGATGAGAGGATTTAGTTTTTACGTAAAGTACGTTAATACAATTGTGCTTCCATGGGCAGATGGCCATCACTGTGGGCTTAGTCTTCGCCTAATTATGTATCTTATTTACGCCTTTTCAGAATTGATATTTGACCACATGGACAATACAATTCCTTAAAAATATAGTAATAACATATTAGCAATAGTGTTTCCTTGCCATTAGCTGCCTGTCCAGTGAAAATATCAGGCACAAACTGTCCAACTTCTCGTAGAGTGTTAATGGTGTATTTAATCCCAAGGCGCTCTGATATTCATCGAAGTTCTCTCCAAATATTTAGGTACAATTATCAAGATTTCTTTTAGTTTAAATTAGTTAACACGTCGACCAATTGGATATGCAGACTCTTTCTAAGACTCTCCGACTATAGTATAGAAGCCAGCTCATGGTGCGGCTATTTGACGCTAATCCTAATTTAGGATTAAGCCTTGGACAGCAGCCAGCTCGCAAGCGTAGTGTAATTGCATCAGTCAACCTGCTGCATTTCATCGGCGTCAACTATTTTCATCTCCTGTTATCGCAAGATCTTTGCACTTTCTTTATAAATGTTCACTCCTCCTAGGTAGAAATTTGTTTCTCTGATATAGCACCGCGGAATCAGATCTGCGCAAGCTTCGATGGTCAAAGGGACATCACAAACTATCGTCACTGGCGTTAGCCATTCACCTCACGGTTCCCACCATAGCACATATAGTGTTGCCAGTCCAAACACTAGTAGCCCTACTGGGTCTAGCCCTCTCACAAAGATTGTGGTCGCGCAAGTCTTTTTATTACTAAGTACAATTAAGGAAGACAAAGACCGCACCAAGTGGGAGCAACAAGTCGAACAACTCCGAAAGGTTTGCTCCTAGTCTTCAAAGTACTAAGATGCCAACTGACAGCAGTCATAAGTTAATCGATGCACACGGGATGGAAGTATTTCAAAAATATTTCAGTCGGCTAGTGGTCGGAAATGCTCATCAGATTTTCCCTGGTATCAGTCGGCAAGTAACAACACCTGGAAATTATCCTATTCTCGTAACTGAAATCCGAAAAATAAGTCACGATGTCGATCAGGCAGGAAAGATAGCAGAATCAATAGAATTGGCAAATGAAGATATCTTTCGGGACTTTGATCTCTCCACATTCATGGAACATTTCAAGCTAGATGCTCTAGAAAAAACGATTCTCGCTCTAGCTTTCAAAGCCGTATCAAAATCAGATTTAAAAGCGAAAGGTAAAGAATTCTTCTATACTAATTCTGGTATTCTGACAACCTTTCAAAGCTGATGCTATTATATCCAACAACTATGCTCAATTTCTCCAAATTCTTTCACGAAAAACTAGTGAGGCACTCCCGACTAATTTTATTGCTACGATTATCGATCGGTTAATACAAACCAACCCTACCAGTTTCGACCAAAAAGCGCGGACTGAACTAGCTCTTGCCGTTCGATATCGATATGATAACCGTGAATCAGATCATAATCCCCCATCATCCGTCCTCGCTGCGTTATACTTGTTGAAAGTACTTGGTGACAAAAACTCTTTACCCCATTATATGCACAGAATCGGTGCAACAATAACTCAAAATCAAGATGCGTGTGTGGAATACCTTCACAACTTGGGTCAAAAATTTACTGAAGAGCAAGTGTCCGCTGCAATTATTTACGCCACAATCAGCCAAACGATAAAGTTCAACATTGAAGTGCTCGTCTCCAGCTTCCGTCAAGAGGTTTCATCTGTCTTTGATTGGTCCAAAGTTATTTCGTTCTTTGACCAGCAACAGTTAAGAATTACTCAACAACAATTTTTGGCTCTATATAAAGCAATGTATCCGCTTGCAGTAGATGGAATTATCGACATTCAACAGATGTGGGGTGGAAAATGGCGTAATACGGAGACTCAACTATCGTTTATATCGGCATACGCCGCTTTGGACTCATCGGAACTAGACGCCACAACAATTCCAGGGCTTCAAACTACGTTCAAACTTGAAGATTACGCTCAATTATCCCCACAATCTCGAAAACGCGCTGCCTATGCAGTAACCGATCCACTCATATCTGTCGCAGCACTGGAAGCATTATTTCACGTAGCTTTACACGAAACGACTGCATCAGAGACTCCCGAGGCGAAAAGACTCTTCGCGCAGGTTGTACTTCCTAAATTAGACATTTTCATGGTTTCAGCCTTCGGTGTGCCCAAACCTTGGCCCATTTTAGCAAACGACACACTCCTAGGACTTTTTGATAGGTATTTAACTCAAGCTGATTCTCATCGTGATTTTGTGCTTGAGAGTCTATGGCGGAAAGACTGTGGATGGGTGGCTCAGCGCCTAGTTGATGCTCATGGAAAGACACCTTTACGCCTTCCTATAATCCTTGAGCATGCTGCAAGGTACAAATGGCTTGATGACTTAACTTCGATGCACAACGGATTCGGACTTGACTTGGCAGCAGTTGCACACGCTCGGGGTCTTCTAGACTTAGATGAATGGAGCCGTAATGTTCCTAGTGTCAGGATTCCTGACTTTGCTCAATCACTTCGAAAATTTCTGGACATTAAAGCTAGCCATGAGTTAAGTTTTCAGCGAACTGGTGAGCTTTCGAGTGTAATGTTACCCGTCAAAACCATAGCAGCTTTATTGAATGTGGTCGAGGATATTTTACCCAAGTCGCCTGCTCAAGACTGGATTGCCGTTCAGCGCCGATGCATTACAGCCTACCCTCGGCTTATTAATTATAATGAAGGGTTCAACGATATTATAGATGCCAACGGGGCCGAAACTAACTATCTTCCGATCTCCGCCAACGAAAAGATGGAAGAGCACTACAAGCGTATGTACAATGATGATCTACAAGTACGAAATGTTGTTGATGCACTAGAGAGCTACAAGAGATCTAGAGATCCATCTGATCAGGAAGTATTTGCCTGTATGATTCATGGACTTTTTGATGAGTTTGCCCTCTACGGTACATATCCTCTTGAAGCCCTCGCGACAACTGCAGTATTATTTGGTGGTATCATATCGCGAAGGCTTATAGATAACCTTCCACTCGAGATTGGACTAGGTATGATCCTTGAAGCTGTTCGTGACCATACACCAGACGATTCAATGTTCAAATTTGGTCTGCAGGCTTTGATGCAACTATTGTCGCGCTTGCGAGAATGGCCAAGTTTTTGTGTCAAGCTTCTTCAAACTTCCTATCTCCAAGGTACGGAAGCATGGAAGGTAGCAGAGGAGGCGATTCGGACACAGCAAGAAGAAGAGTCTCGAAAATTTCAAACGAATGGCGTAGGTATGAATAATGGAAATCTGGACGAAATACTAGTAGCCGATTCAAGCGCCCCACAATTCAGCTCGCTCCATGTAGACGCGTCTCCATTCATCTATGAAGATCCTGATGGCGCTACTCAAGATAAAATTCTGTTTGCGTTAAATAACATGACTGCAGAAAACTTGGAAAGAAAGTTTGCTGAACTACAATCTATCATTGAAGATCAAAATCACCAATGGCTAGCGAGTCACCTAGTTTCCCAGCGTGCTAAAATGGAGCCGAATTTTCACAAGTTGTATCTTAATCTGCTTAAGCTCTTTGGAAAAAAAAATCTGTGGGCCGAAATTCTTCGTGAGACTTATGTCTGTGCATTCAGATCTCTGAATTCAGATGCTACTCTTTCACCAAACGGTGCAACGGAACGGGTACATCTCAAGAATTTAGCTGCATGGCTAGGTTTACTAACTCTAGCTCGTGACAAGCCTATCAAACATAGCAATATTTCATTCAAGCAACTTTTAGCAGAAGCATATCAAACAAATCGACTTGTTATCGTTATTCCCTTTGTTTGTAAAATCTTGGGGCAAGGAAAGGACTCTACAATATTTAAACCACCTAATCCATGGATAATGGACATAGTTCGAGCACTTAGGGAGCTTTACCTTGGAGCAGATTTAAAACTTAACCTTAAATTTGAGATTGAGGTTCTATTTGGTGAACTTTCTATCGACCCTAAAAGTATCGAGCCCTCTGATGAAATAATGAGCCGAATCCCTGGAATTGATAGTGCAGACTCACTAATCGGCCCTGTTCCTATCGATAGATACGACAACTTATCACCCAATGAGATTGGGGGTGTTAGTGGTGCAAGATTCTCTCCTCAGGAAATCACATCCTCAATTCCTGATTTAGGCCCCATGCTTATATATCCTCCAACTAATGAGATAGTAAATCAAAGTCAACTTCAAGAGATAGTTCGAAGTGCGACGACTCGCGCTGTGTGTGAGATTATTTCTCCTGTTGTAGAACGCTCTGTCACTATAGCTGCAATATCTACTGCCCAGATGATTAAAAAAGATTTCGCTACTGAACCTAATGAGGCCAAAGTACGCTCTGCGGCAATTCTCATGGTCAAAAAGACTGCAGGCAGTCTAGCTCTAGTGACATCAAAAGAGCCTTTGCGGGCTAGCATGACAAACTATATAAGAGCACTTTCTAGTGAGTTACCTCAAGGTCTACCTGAGGGCACCATTATCATGTGTGTAAACTCGAACCTTGATCTAGCCTGTAGTCAGGTAGAAAAGAAAGCAGAGGAACGAGCGATTCCTGAAATTGAAGAGATAATTGAGCCAGAACTGGAGGCCCGTCGTGTTCACAGAATGACTCGACCAGATAGTCCTTACATGGATATAGGATTGAGTCGATGGGCGTTAACTATACCTAACCCTTACAAGCTACAGCCTAATCTAAATGGGCTAAATCAGGACCAGATCGCTATCTACGATGACTTTGCTCGGTCGCGGCTCCAGCCCACAATATCAGGAACAACACATGTGCCATCCACTTCCGATGCAACTAGAACTATGAATGAAGCTATTCAAGAGCAATACACTTCCATTCCCACCTTACCAAACACAGTCGAGTCATCGGCGATGCCTCATGTCAATAATCACCAACAGGCTTACATACAGACTAACAACTTGTTAACAAATGGAAGAGCTGCAACTCTTCCCCAGGATCCTAGAGCTTTGGTGGAGCGGGTCCAAAAAACCCTCATTGAACTAGAACGAGTTGTACCAGAATCATCAGAAGAACATTTCACCGAAATATCTCGCCCACATCCCGTAATTGATGTACTAGATGCTTTATATAGCTTGATCATTAGGACTGCACAATCGCCCGACGCACTCGACATATTTATTGTCGACCAGATATGCAACCTACTCTTCGGAGGTGCAGACCACCACTTAATGATAGAATGTCTAGTTCACGTACTGGAAAATATATGCCGGATTGGTGGACGAACCGCCAGCCGTGTAGCTCTCATGATTGCACATCAGCCAGGCGAAAATTTATTACGAGTCCATCTAGCCGTATCTCTTATCAGGGCTGACTTAATAGATTGGCATCGTATCGACTCAGAGACTTCAAAAGCAATAGTTCAAAGGAGGGAAGACTCACTCGACTTTTTTTCAAATCTCATAGATGCTGTCCTTGTTAATGATAATCCAATTGCATTATTTTCCGATTTTGCTAGTAGCTTGGAAGTAGCATGGCAATTGATCGAGTCAGATCCTACTTTAGAAATTGGGCAGCAGCTTAAAAAGAAATTAACCGCTTCTGGCCTAACAAATAATGTCGGAAAAATGCAAGAAGATACTCAGCTCACTCGAATAGACCAGATGCGATACGTATTCGATGAATGGGTTCATTTGTGTGGCAACTCCAATGCTTCGGAACAAGCAGTATTCCATTTCACCTCACAAATGTTCCACAACCAATTAATTAATAATCGAGATGACCTTTGCATTTTTTTACGTTTATCAGTCGATGTTTCTGTCGATCGCTTTGAGCAATGTATGCAAGTTAACGGAAATATTTACGGTGCATATGTACCAGTAGATGCATTAGCTAAGCTTATAGCAATTCTAGTCATGCGACGGGAAGAAGAATGGGAGGTAAAAGCTGACAAGGCCGCATATTTGAGAACAGCTCTTTCTATAATAACTTTAGTTCTGAACCATCATCATGTTACACGAGGAGAAACATTCAACCAAAAGGTTTTCTTTCGGCTTTTTTCAACCTTACTTTGCGAACTAAAGTCAATGACTTCCAAGATTACAGCCACGGAAATTCAAGAACTAATGTTGGTCTTTGCCAAATTTCTCCTAGATCTTCGCCCAATTTATTTTCCTGGATTTCTTTTCGCTTACCTCGGTCTAATATCACATCGTTACTTCTTACCTGTCATTATGGAGCTTCCAGATCGGATTGGCTGGAAACCTATTGCCGATGTGGTGGAAAATTTGATGGCCTATGTAGCCGAACTTATAAAACCATTACAAATATCTCCGATCTCGAAAGAGATATACCGTGGCGTTATCAAACTAATTCTTATATTTCACCATGACTTCCCCGGCTTTTTGGCCGCTAATCATTCGAGGTTTTGTGCAAATATACCTCTCCATTGTATACAGATGCGTAACCTAATATTAAGCGCTAATCCAGCTTCGAAGCTTCCAGACCCTTTTCAACAGGGTTTAAAGGTAGATCGTGTTGACGAAATGCGTGATTCGCCTGAATCAATGAACGATGTTGAAGCACCTTTGAGACAAGCAGGCCTGCTAGATATCGTGAATCAAGCACTTCAGAGCAGTCCATCCGAGAATGCTGTGGCCCACATTGCGCATGCAATCCAGGGAAATAAAAAATACCATCAAACAGGAGTTGGATTTATGCCCATATGCGCTAATCTCAAGCTCATAGGATCGCTTGTAATTTACATCAGCATATTCTCAATAAATCAAGCAGCATCGAAAGGTGGATCAGTGTTTGTACCTACATCCCCAGACGCGGTACTAATCTCTATGCTTGTTCATGAGCTTCAGCCTGAAGCAAGATACTTCTTTATTGGCAGTATGGTCGACCAGCTCCGGTTCCCAAACTCGCAAACCCAATACTTTACACTTGCTATTCTTGAACTTTTTGGTAATGATATCAACGATCAAGAAGAGACAGACATCCGACAACAAGCCACCAGAATTTTACTAGAAAGACTTATCGGCCAGTGGCCACAACCTTGGGGTCTAATTGTAGCAATTCACGAGCTCATAAAGAACGAGAAATATATGTTTTTCGAACTGCCATTTATCAAATCAACGCGGGAGGTAAGAAATTCCATGGCTTTTACAGTACAATAGATACTAACCCAATATTTGTAGGTTGCTGAGCGATTCGCCACCATTGCAAACCGCCACATTTGAATTGGCCATCACTGACGATTTAACCTTTCAAGTAAAGGGTTTAAAGACAGAGCTCCCCCTAATCTACCGGGACTTATCTATAGATAGCATTATCGTTTCTCATCGCTCCTTATCTTTCATACAACCTCCCAAGTAAAAATCGGCGTTCTATATTTTCCAGGGTTGCAAGGTCTATTCTCTGCATAGCGAGCGAGGGTCGGGTTTCTACAGAATTTTATAATACATTGCCGGGGCATTCAAGGTAAAAATTACGAATGCATTTTAAATGACAATATTTTGTAACTGTCTTCACGAGAGAGCGGAAGGACAATTAATGGCATTGGCGCTTGAAAAGAAGACATTAGGCGTAGAAAGGGCTTTGTGCTGCGATCGAGGATAAACAGTGGGAGTTTCCATCGAGTGTAACAGTACAAGAATTGAGATTGTGTGGACTTTTAATCCAAGCCCACCTCGGATACCCAAGAAATGCGAGTTCACAAAATGTATACCTGCCTTACTGCAACGTGATATGATCTGAGCCCGCACAATCTAACATTGACCACAACTAAAATACCCGACACACACCTGCGTAATCCCGGCTAATTCTATAACCTCTATATCTTCCCAGGCTAATATCCAAGACCTGCTCCACTTGCTAACTACCGGCCGTCAAATAATTTCTCTAATAGACGCTATGGCTCGCGTTGAAGTACTACAGACCGTAAATTTGCGCAGATACTTCTTGATGTGGTCCTCAGGCTATCACAACTACTTACATAGCCTTGTAGTATTTTTGACATTGCATCTTCAGACACAACGACTCTTGGTTCAGTACTTGGTGTCGAGAAAGTTGCGCGATCGCTCCTCGCTGCATGTAAGGTATTCATAAAGGAAAGAGAGCTGGTAGCAGGGGAACATAGAAGGCCGGCGACACAGTCTTTCATCTCCGCTAAGCGACCCAGATATCTGTACGAGCTCCCATCAGCTCTCAACTCCAGTGGCACTGGAAAACTCACTACAGATGCTGACTGAATTCCAAGATGAAGTGGCTAATAAGCGAGCAGAGCTTTTAGCGAGCTACACGTAGCTCATGCTAGCCTTCGCCGTTCAGCTACTCAAGTACACTTATACACTATAGCTCTTGAATAGCCGTTTAAGCCTAGTAATGGCCGCAGTTAGCCTATATTTCGACGCCATGCCTCTGGGCAAGGGCAAAAATGTCATGATCGGCGAGAGTGGGTATCTGCAAGTTCGAATCCTGGGCCAAGACGTCAATGTTTTAAAACGGGGAAGTTACGAGGGCTGAAAGAAGCATCATAACGAGCAGGGAATTAATTGACGCCGATACGGTCACTCCTCGCTGTGAGAGCTCGGGGGTAAGCAGTATCAGCACTGCGGACTCAGTGGACAGTCTTGGAGCCCGTTGGTTCGAAACAGCCAAGATTTATAGCTCGAACTATCGCCATCACAGACCACTTCAAACTTGCGAGACCTTGTGGCCAATAACAAAGTGTCTCTCAATGCGAGTCACGATATAATAGCGTGGCGTGTCCCAGTGAAAAATGATGCTATCCTCGAAGGTTTTCTAGATGACGGCGAGACAGGAGGTGGCCGCCATATCTTGGGCCTTCAATGAGCCCCGAGGTGGTCTGGAATTTTTTGATTGCCTCTCGCTGGTATAGAGGTATTTTCTTGGGGCCTGACCGTTGGCGCATCATCACAAGTTTCTCATGATGCCCTCTCCCAACGTCTGCGAGTCAAGGGTACGCTGGGCAGTGAGGCACTTTGGGTTTTGGATTCGGGATCTTCAGGGACGGGCGAGAATTCTGCTTTGGTAATCTCCGAGCCCGAGGAAACAAGGGTATGCCTACTTAAATCCTTTGTATCGCCAACCCTGGCATCTCATGTCAGTCGAAAAAGAGCGCAAGCGTTACGAGGCAGTGAAGGGGAAGAAATTTCGAATTGCTGCTAGGGGCTCAAAGCCTACTTTTCAGCTCTTTGGTAGAGCATGTCTCTCCAGGTGAACTAGACTGCAAATCTTTAGCTTGGTGTTTGCGAATGAGCGCAAAAGTTTCTACTGGAAGCCGGGGTTGGTCCGGTGAGGGACTCATTCAGCTTTCCGGTATCTTGGCACTAAGGAAAACGAGATTTCACTTCGCAGCACAAAATTAATAGGAGATATCATGTATACGAGCACAGCTGTTTGTTTGTTCGTTAACGTGCTAAGTAATGTGACTCCTGTCGCACTCTTACTGGAGCTTGAGCACGAGTGGGGTCTGGCCGGATCAGGTCAACTACCGTAAAGTACAAGTGCCTCGTCCCACCTAGATGACCGGAACCATACCGAGACGCATCTATGTGTTGAATCATGACGAGTTCAGCAGCCCAGATTGAGAACAAACAAAAACTTTCACGCGAAATCCCGCATTACAAAAGAAAAACTTATACAATCTCGCTTCAATCGTTCCGCCCCAGCCACCTGGCGCCCAAGCCTCGAATCCAATCCTTCTTTCCGTGCCAAACTACCTGGGCTTCCGTTCTATCACCTCTGAGTCACAGGTATCCCTGTCATCCCCCGAATAGCCTCCGCGTATATTCCGCTCTCCTGGACGTAGTCCCTGAACAGCTGCCATCCACTTGATCCAAGCATTGTTTCCAGAGCTGGCGCTCTTCGCTTTCCGCTTTCCGCTTTCCGCTCTCCGCTTTTCAGCCGCCATGTTGCCAGTGCTTTTAGATACTGGACAAAATGACCAATTGATTTTTCTCTCACGCACTCGCAGTAAAGTTTGGCATCAGTGTGGTTGAAGCGGCGATGATATGCCGCAAAGTCCCCATGTCCGGTTCGAGCGGCGATTAAGCGGGTGTAAACCGCTCTCAGTAGCACTAGTTCTGGCGGTTTTTTGCGCTGCATCTCGAGTTCAAGGTCGGCGTAATGTGTGGGGCGATTTGAGTGCCACCAGTCCGTCAACATTTGCCTAGCCAGTTCGCGAGCTTTCCGTCAAGGTGAGACGAGGATCATCACAGCATATATCGTCCTAGAGTTGTCCAAAGAGTTAAGCTCTCTTCGAGCGAGTTCATCGGCGATTTGATTTCCTGCCAGCCCTTTGTGGCCCGGGATCCATCCTATTTTTACAGGCGCAGCTACTTTTGCGACCATTTGGCAGAACTTTTGGATCCGCCAGGATGATGAGCCAGTTATTCTCATCAGTAAAGCCTGGACAGCTGCGGAATTGTCGAGCAGGAAATAAATGGCGCTGCGACTTCGATCTCGCTTGTTATTAATAATCACTTCTAGAGCAGCCAAAGTTTCATGAGCCTCCGCGTCTTGGACTTCCGCATTCGTAATTTTGCCTGAGCCACGTTGCTCAATTACCATACCTGTGCCACTTATAAAGGCCACAAAAGCCCATGACACTCTGTCGGTTGAAGCCCCAGAACCATCACTGTACACGCAGAGACAGTCGGGTGGGAGTGTCGGTAGCCACTCTCTTATAAACTTAGCCGCTTCTTTCTTGCTTGTCTGACAAGGATTCGGCTGAGGGGGTGCTGGAGGTCGGAGCTATGGAGGAAGTTCAGCCTCTAGACACTTTAATTATCAACTCTGTCGAGACCAAGTCTGCTTTTACTACATGTCTTTAATCCGAGTCGGTGGCGAGCGCTGTCAGTGCTTTCCGTGACTCGAAGTCGAAGTGGATAGTAATCACCTAGTCTTCGGATTCGTGCGGTAGTCTTGAAGCTGCGTTCCTCGGGTAGACTGTGTGCTGGTGGAATACTGGTCTCCCTTTTCAGAGCTGGGCTAGGCATGGTATACCAGACTGGTAGAGCCACGCAGATTCCGAAGGCAGAAGTTTGGTCGATTGCTTTGCACTGTGTCAGAGCAGCATGTAGATAGCAGGGTGGAGACGTAGGTCAATGAGGTGGTATCCAGGCTAAAGGGTACCACCCTACATTGACCAATATCTCCGCCCTGCTGTCTACATGCTGCTCTGGCATCAGGCTTATTTTTACGAAATGTGGTGACATATGTCTCCACGGGTGGTAAGGTCTAAGGCGCAAAAATACAAGCTCATCAGGTCGTTGGGGGTTTGTTGCTGATGCTTTAGGCTTCAGCGTGGAGACGGGCCTCATTGATGCTGTCTTAGATATGATTGTTGGAGCCGCTTGGTTTGCTGGCTTGTTCCTTCTTCTCAACACCTCAGTCCAAGATTTCTAAGTGGTTTTATTGTGTTCTGTTTGAGCCCTGGTTACGCTGGAGGGTTGCTGTTGCGGCTGATGGCTTGGATGGTGCCGGTCTGTTGTTTTCTCCAGCAAGGATCTACACTAGACGCGTGAGGCTTGCTAGGTTTTGTTCGGGAGGCTCTATAACTTGAGCCGGATCGGATGGGTTAGCATGGCCACTAGCAGCCTGTGGAAAAATGTGGGCGTCTGCTTGAGATAGGTTGCCATACAGAATTTTCGAGATCTTGCCCTGAAGGGCCAGTAAGTCCTGATCAAAGAGTTTTCGAAGTCTCCCGTCAGTGACTAGTTCCAGGAGCTTGCAGCATCCAATGATGAAACGCTCCGCTTGTGCAGAGCGTGTTTGAAATATCCTGCCCTGTTCGACGAGGAATTTGGTCGTGATAATTTGAGGCAACGGAGTTTGGTTGTGGGGTGAGTTTCGATGACTCGCCTCACAGATCGGCTCTGCGTTTGTTCGTGTATTATGAAGATGGTTGGGTGGCTCTGTCAGGATCATTTCGACGCCAGGATACGTCGAGTTTGCGGGTGGGAGGGGGGCCAACGGCCAGTCTCTGTAGAGGAATGGGGCGGTATGAGTAAATGCAAGATGTATATGGTAGTATTAAGTCGTAGATGGTATATGATAGCATCATTTTGTGGCGAATGGTTGTTGACGAGCACAGCTTTTTATAATTTTTTTTATTACGAATAGGTCCTGAGCTAAAGCTCTTTATCCACAATGGGTCAAGGACCGGTAGATCCGGTAATGTTCCCTGTAACTCTTCCTACAGCCTAAACTCGTT